GCTCATCTTGTAGAGATGCTTCTCGTTTCCAAAATCTCATGAACGTCTTTGGGATGTGCGGTGCTCCTTTTAAGAGCTTAAAATCGTCTCTTATGTCGTTGTTGCACCATTCATTATTCGAGCCGCCTTTTTTAGGTTTTCAACTCGAATCCTCCTTTGGTTTCAAAATGTTATTTAAAAATTTACATCTTGAACCCCCCCTTTATCATTTTTCATATCATGCATTAAAGATTTTAAAAAACAATTTTTGCAAATAAAAATCAATCTTGGAAGGCGGAATGAATTCTAAAGATATCATCTTTTACTTAGAAATCTATGTATGATTAGAATGGACTTTTCAGGTACGTAATGTAGGCCATGGCTTATGGTTACGAAAGAAAGGGATAAAAAGGCCCCAAATAAGTGTTTAAGGGTAATCAAACCAAGGATCAATTCATTTTGATGCCATCAATCTTGCCTTGCTTAACTTGGATCTGCTTTGTTGGGAATTTTTCCATCATTTGGATCCCTCTAGACTGCCAAATTTTGGATTAATTTCCAATTTCTCATATCTTCAGCATTTCTTGCTCTTCTTGTTTGTACTTGATCAACCTTGTAACTTGAGGCTCAATAAATCACTCATCTTGATTCAATTTTCCTTTTTTTTTTTCTTCTTCTTTTTTTTTATTCTTTCTTTGCTGGATGAGTATAATACTTCAATTGCTTTGAGCACCTCCTTTTCCTTTTGCATTTTGGAGGTTTTCCATTATTCTTGATTGGATTGATCTTCAAGCACTCTGTATTTGACATACTTGTAGTTCAAAACTTTCATGACTTCATGGAAACTTGTCTTCGTAATAAAACTGTATTGACAATCTTCATTCTTGTGAGAAAATATCCTTCACCTTGCCCTCTAATGTGGAGGGTGATCCTTGGTTAGGGTTGAATCAGAAGAAAAATTATTCAGGCTCAAGTGGGGACAACAAATGATATATTTATATATATAAAAGGATAAATGAAACAATGCCGTTCGTCATCTCATACACAGAAACCTTTGTAAAAAGAGGTATCCACAGAGGGATGAATATTCAAGATTAATTTTATTTACATGAAAAATGTAATTAATGCATGATATATTTATTTCAATCAATCACTTTCCCCTTCTTCTTTGAGTATGCCCTAATCACTCGAAATTATCATCAATGAGTTGGTCCATGATGCCTCATCTCGTCTCTTCTTGCAGCAAGATTCACGGATAATTGAAAGTTTGGTTCTTTTGAGGTCTTTTGGTTTATGATGGTTTTAGAAGGACAAATGTGTGACTTTTGAAGTCGTATATATGGTGGAATGTAGTATCATCAATCAACTCTACCCGAAAAGGTAAACATCTGGAGTAGGTGTCTCAAAAACAGATGGAGACATTACTTCGGGAACTTTGTAGTGTCAATATTTGGTTTTGGTAAGGGTTAAGTAATTGGCATTGGATAGGGTATGGAAGATATAATTTTACCACTTGCCAAAGATCTATAACTCTTGAAAAATTAAAAGAATATTTAATCTACTTGATACTCAAGAATCTCAAGGTTAAACTTGATTCCTTGCTCATAACCATAAAAGCAACACAAGTTTATTTATTGCACAAAAAGCGGAGAAAGGAACAAAAACAAGTTCAAACAAGATGCTGAAAATAGAAAGTACTACAGTGGTAGATAACACTTCCACTTGTTTATACATCATGCCTCCTCTAATGTTGGGTGTATACTTGGACCAGGGTCATTGTCTTTATCTGTCCCCCATTTTTTGATCATTTCTTGTGTCAGGACTCTTTTGTCAACAAGCATCTCTATTTCTTTCAACAGTGGCCTACAATTGCCTGTAGAATGCCCTTTTACCCCCAAGTGGAAATTACAAACACTATCTTGATCATAACTATGAGCAGAAGGGTTTGATGTCACTTTAGTTGGTCTTGGTGTGATGTATTGACCTTTAACCAAATGAGGATACAAGTCTGAAATGGAAGTTTGGAATACTTCCAAAGTTTGTCTTGATCGCATGACTTTCTTTGGTCGATCTGAGCAGTTACTCGCTCTTTTTCTTTTGTAATTACGAGGACTCTGGATGCAACATTCATTCACATGATCAGCTTTTGCTTTTTGATCCATCGGGCTCTTGGATATGACTTTTGAGTTTTCTTCATTGATTACATTCTCAATCAAATCTCCAGTTGTCACAAGATTCTCGAATTCCTTTGTCGGATTTGCCTGCATCAACTCGCGGAAAGGAGCGGGAAGGGAATCACGAAACATACATGATATCTCTTCTTCTATCATGGGAGGTTGAACTTGTGCTGCCACTCCTCTCCATCTTAAGGCATATTCTTGAAATCTTTCATTGGTTTTCTTCTTTACTCTTCGAAGATCCATACGTGTTGGAGCTAAGCCTTTAATATACCGATATTGTCTCAAAAATGCATCAGCTAGATCTACCCATCTCTTTATCTGTTCTTGGGTCAACTGATTGTACCAGACTACTGTTGGGCCAATAAGACTATCATGGAAAGAGTGAATTAACAGGTCATCAGAATTTAAATATCCTCCCATTTTTCTGCAAAACATTCTCAAATGGATTAAGGGACAACTGGTGCCATCATATTTCTCAAAATCAGGCATTTTGAATTCATGGGGAATAATCAAATCTGGAACTAAGCTAAGCTCTCTTGCTTCTAATTCTTTGTGGGAAGTATCAACACATTTCATATTTTTGATTGCTTCATCCATCTTCTTGAATCTTTCCTCATATTGTGAATAATGAACAAGGCTATTCTTTGGGTTCAATTGGGATGCCCCATAGGGTTTTATCATTTTCGACTCTTTAATCTGACAGCATGGTTGCTCTTTATCAATTATCTCTTCTTTATCAGATGTCACATACTGGATAATTTGATTTGATCCATATGGTACTGAATCTGATGTTTCTTTCCTTATATCCGGAGGTAACCCCGTCAATTGTTCTGGCCACTGATCTTGTAATCCCTTATAAGATTGCTCCATGATGACAGTAAAGTAATATGAATGAATGACCTTGGTTTTACTGTTACAAAACCTTTCATTAATTATTAACATGTTTTTATAATTAAAGTACATGACAGTACTTAAATAAAAATGTGAAAAATGCATAAATGGAAAAATAAGAATGCAAAATGTGCAATTCAAAGATATAAAAAGTAAAAATACAAAATGAAAATGCACAGATACAAAATGTAAATGCATGTATGAAAAGGTGTTACTTAAGAATGATCATCTTAGAACAGATTTCATTGAACACAAAAGTTTCGGTACATCAAACAAAACTTTTACATGTAGGGGACAACTTTTAATCCTAACTTCAACAAAACTTTACATAAAGGGAATAACTTTCCCATTTTCTTCTCTAAAACCAAGTTAGATTATCATCTTATGGGCCATATTGCTTGTCTGGACTGCAGCTTCTTTCATGACATTCTGGGGTTTTTTCATCTCCTATGTTAATTCTTGGAGTTGATCATTTTCCTTTGCGAGAGAACATTTGTGTTCAAAAAGTTTTTGGACAAAATCTTCATGTATGTTGCAACTCTTTTTCAGTTTGGTGACCCCTGCTATCCACTCTTTTGGGATGTTTCCTATACCAGCATTTTGAAAAGCTTGACTGACCTTCTGGAAGTCTTCATGTATGGTTTCCATTTTGGTGCTCAATTTATTGTTTTCAATCTTCAAATGACGTATTTGAGCTTCAAACCTCAGCAAATCTTCTTCTCTCTGGGCGCACCTACTGATATTCTTACTTTTGAAGACTTTTGGTATTAATCTATCAGGACCCTTGGTTACCAAACTAGGTCGATCATTTACCATAATTGTAAGATTCCATGATTCAAAAGACTTTGGACTCGGCGTTTGAAGGCAAGACAATTTTCGATAGTATGTCCTTGAGCTCCGGCATGATATTCACAATGAACGTTGATGTCATACCAATTTGGATACGGAGGTTGGAACGGTTTTATATAATATGGATCCACTTCTCGTGCTTCAAATAGCTTCTCATACAACTCTTTATATGATATAGGTATAGCATCAACATGAGAACCACCTTTTGTCTTGGATTGAACCTGAGTTTTAGTCATTGGGAGTAGACCAAACTTTGATGACTTCTGATCACATGATTTCTTCTCATCTCTGAGAGCTTTTACAATGGTCACCATTTCTTTGGTATCTCCATACGATTTGTGAATACGAATGATGACTGTCTGTAATTTCTCAAATTGGTTAAGAATCGAAATCCCTTGCGTATCTGAAACTGCAGAGTTAGGTTCATTGAGCTCTCTCTCTTTCTGTGCTGGAATCTCTTTTCCTTTGGCCAAAACAGATATTCTATCCATCATTTTGGACATCTGCTCTCTTATTTCTCGTATCTCCTTTTGCTCTTCAATGGGCATATAATCTTTGGGTGCATAGCTCTTCTCTATCTTTAGAGTTCCCTCAGGATGTTTTCTTGCTGCGTCATATTTTGTCGATCATAAAACTTTTTGTCCATTTATGATTTCTTTCTAATTTGATGAACAGTCTTTTCAGTTAACACCTTTTGGTCATGATCATGCAATGCAAACAAAAGAAAATAATTTAAACAAATTAGAGCAAAAATAACATACATGGGAAAATAAGAAAAAAAATAAAATGGTTAATACCAACTAATTGAAAGAAAAAATTTATTTATCATAATAAATCCTAACCTCATGCTTTCTAGTTCCATGCTTTGTTTGGAAAAATTAACCTAATCGCATGATTTCTAGTTCGCATGCATTTATTCAGGGAGAAAAAATAATAATAAATTAAAACTAGAGCTTATTCTCCTTTGTATACACCTATAAACAGAGGTTCAGTACTGTCTTAGATTAGGAGAAGTTCTAGGGTTCATTATATGCAGAGTTTCAGTTCTAGGAGTAAAGGTACTCGAATTGTTCTTGTTGATGCCCCCTTGGGCTGTCAAACCCTCAATCCTAGTCCATTACAGACTTAAACGGACCGAGTTCAATTCGAGGGGATACATTTCTCTATGACTAACACGGAGAATAAATTCTCACGAAGACATAAAGCATATGAACCCCGAAAGTTACTTGCTAGGTCTGACACGGAGAATAAATTCTCACGAAGACGTCGCTTTCACTCCCACTTAAAAGGGACAAGCTCAATTATAGAGCTTTATGTTATGCAATGCAAGTGTTGTGTGTGAGGAGAAATATTCAAACCTCTAACAGATAAATAAAATAATTAATACCTGAATAAAAAAATAATATTAATATAAAAATAATAAATAATAAAAATTTGAAAGAAAAGAATTAAAAATTAAATAAATGAATTTTTAATTTCTAATTAATAGAGACAATTTATAATTGATTTTAAAGTTTGACAATCCCCAGCGGAGTCGCCAAGCTGTCGTAACCGGTTTTCGTCCGGGCACGAATTTTTAAATTTGGCGGGAAAAGTGATGTGAATAAATGGTTTAAAAAAAATAATTCGGGAGTCGCCATCGGCCTTTTGGGTTAGGTAGGTCCAATACCTAAAAATTATCTTTTAAAAGAGTTTTTAAGAAAACATCAGTTAAAAGATAAACTGATCTGCGTTTAACCAAAAATTCATTCTTTTTTATTAATAAAAAGGGATTCGTGGTCGGTTACGTTTAGGGAAGGATTAGCACCCCTACAACGCCCAAAATTGGTACTTTTAATTATAAATTGTCTCTATTATTGGAAATTTAAAAATTCAAAGATATATTTAATTCATAATTCTATTGTTTCAAATAATTTTAAGAAAATATATTAATATACATAAATAATATATTTACTTATTTAGAAATATCAGAAAAGGGCTTCTAGGTGTTTTAAGACAGCTCTTTTCTTTAATATTTAAAAATAAATATCAAAAACCTTTTATTTTAATATAGTAAGATATTTATTTATTCAAAAATATCAGAAAAGAGCTTCTAGGTACCTTAAGACAACTTTTTTCTTTGATATTAAAAACAAATAAATATCAAAATATGATTATTTTCTTAAAAGTAATTTATAAAATTAAATTTATAAATAGGAAAATAGAATAAATAAATAATATTATATATATTTATAAGACTATATATATTGACATAATTAATAAAATAATAATAATAATAGTAATGATAATTAAATATATATGAACATAAATATAAAGGTAACATATGATTAAATAATGTTTAAAATACAATTAAAACATGGTATGAAAAAATAAAAAATAATAAGCTTGTAAATGAAAATATTAAACTTAGGGACTAAATTATAATCTAATAAAATTAAATACCTAATTCATAATTAATTATTTAAAATTATAGGGATTAAACATGCTATTTTCCTTATTTATTAATTTGATGACTAATTTAAAACTATATAAAATTCGAATATCATATTAAAATAAATTAAAAATATATATACTTGGGATTAAATATTATTTATTAAAATTAAAAGACTAAATATGATATTTATCTTAAATATATTATTAATACGGTAAATGGCTAAAATATAAATACATAAAATGTAGAGACCGAATTAAAAGGATCAAAAATTTGATTCAGTGACTAAAAGGTAAAGATTACAAATTAAAGGGATGGCGGACGGGATTAATCTTTTTGTTAATTACGGACAGATCCCTCCCCAAAACGGCGTCGTTTGGGGAAGGCTTTAAATACCCAATCGGCCGGCCATTATATGCCATCTTCCTCATTTCTTTCTTTTTTTTCTTTCTGTGAGAGAGAAAACTCTCTCTGCTCTCTCCAAACTCTTCCCCGGAGAGAGAGCTGACCACCGGCCGGCAACCATGATCTGCCGCAAGTTCCGCCGCCGGCCACCGCCTCTGGTGGCCGGAAATTCCCAAATTTACCTAAAATAGAGATCTAAACGCTCTAAGACCGATTCCGGTCTTTATTTTCCCTAAAACCCTTAGATTCCTGTAGATCTAATTTTTTTACCTTCGAAAAATGAGACTCCGGTGACGCTCGGGATTTCCGGTAATGAGCGAGGCTTCAAGGGTAAGTTCCTCTTCTTCTCTTCGTTTCTGTTTTGGTCTGGTTGTTGGTTGCTGTTCGTATTTCTCTCTTTTTTTGTTCTCTTCGTGTTTTTCTGTGTTCTCCGTTGCTCTCTGTGGCTGTCTTCTTTCTTGCAAGTGGGGTGGCTTTTATAGCCACCACCGAGGCTCTCGTTGGACCGGTTCCAGAGATGAAAGGCCCGGTGAGTCACCATAGCTATGGTGGTGACTCACCATAGGGCTCAACGTGGGTAGCTTCGTGACGTTCTGGAGTGTCGGCAGCGACTGTTGGACCACCTGGACTCATCGGAGGTGGCTGGAAGCATCTAGAAACGGCTGGCTGCTAGGGTTAGAAAACCTAGGGTTTTCCATCTGGAACCCTTTTGGGCCGTTGGATCTTGCCAGATCCAACGGCTGATGATGTTGACGGCGACTGGGGGCTAGGGTTTGAAAACCCTAGCTGAAACCCTAAATCAGTTTAGGGTTTCCATTTGGGTATGGGTCGGTTCTGGTTGGGCATGGTATTTGGGCTTGTAAATGGGCTTCCAGTTTTGTAATTATTTATTAAATAATAATAATATATAATATTAATAATAATAATAAATAATAATAATAATAATAATTATTATAATAATAATAATACTAATACTAATAATAATACTAATAATAATAATTTTAATAATAATAATTTTAAATGAAAAAAAATTGATGTCTACACTGTGCATGGAATTTTGGCTCATGCAATCCAAAGGAGTGTTCATTCACAAGGAGTGTTGAGGACTCAGCTACTTAGAGTGAAGTTATTCGGGAAGTTCTGGCTGCTTTTTGTGGTGCGTCTGGTCAAAAGGATAGTGGGGCTAAGTTGACAATTATATTCTCCAAGAATATTAGTATGCCGCTTAGAGAACAGCTTAGTAAAAATCTCAGAGTTAGTGAGGTATCAGACGTTAGGAAGTACTTGAGGGTTCCGCTTCTCCATGGTCGTGTAATGACGGCTAGCTATCATTATTTGGTTCGAATGGTTCAGGATCGATTGAGTGGGTGGAAGATGAAGACTCTCTCTCTTGCCTGAAGAATTACAGTTACGAAATCAGTGCTTGCGACTATTCCTATCTATACGATGCAATCTCCGGTCCTCCCAAAACGGGTCTGCAATGAAATTGAAGGGCCTATTTGAAGGTTTATCTGGGGTATTGCTGAAGGCGGTCGAGGAGTCCATGTGGTTAAATAGAGCGATGGTGTCGGCCTCAATCTAAAGAGGAATTGGGATTTCAAAAATTAGAACACCAAAATGATGCTTTATTGATGAAAATTGCCTTCAATATTCTAGCTAGGAAGAATCAACTCTGGGTTCGTTTTCTCCGGGCCAAGTATAAGTGTAACGATGAAGTACTGGATTCTCTTCGTAGGACAAACTCTTCCAAGTTATGGAAAGGACTATCATGCATTTGGCAGAATGTCAAGCAGCAACTCTGCTGGTGCATAGGAAATGGAAGAATAGTTGATTTTTGGTTTCATAGTTGGCTATCGGATTTTGGTCATTTGATTAAACATACGATGGTGGCAGGAGCAATAGGTATGACGCGAGTGACAGTTGTTGATTTGGTCGACGATGAGGGGAATTGGAGATGGGATTTGATGGAACCTTATTTACCAACTCATGTTTTTCTAAAGATTGTTGCACAGAAAGGACCTAAATCAAGTTTTGGTGCGAACAGGGTGGGATGGAGATTGCGAGAGGATCGCCAATTTTCAGTGAAATCGGCTTATGAAAATCGAACTCCACAAAGTAACATGACTAGATATGTGGTTTAGGCAGAAATTAACAAATTCCGAGGGCTTCAACGCATTAAAGCATTTCTTTGGTTGGTTTGTTGCGATAGAGTTATGACAAATGGCGAACGGACGCGACGATATTTTACTAGCTGTAGTAATTGTCCGGTATGTTTTGCACCTATGGAAGACACTAATCACTTACTGCGTTGGTGCCCATCGGCGTTAACGGTTTGGTCCGCAATGGTTAAACGGGGGAAACTCCAAGCTTTTTTAAATATGGAGTTGAAAGAGTGGGTTGTTCTCAATTTTCGGGGAGCAAATGGTTTTGTTCTTCAACAGGATAATTGGGTATTCTATTTGGGGCTATCATATGGAATATCTGGCTGCATCGAAACGCAGTGGCATTTGATAAACCATTGGAGGACAACCGATCGATTATTGAACGAAGCAGGCATTTGAAGGATTCGACGACTGGGGTGGAACAAGTGCAAACGAACCAGAGAGGAACTCAAGCTAAGCAAAATCCTTGTTGTCGGAACCGTCTTTCGGGTGGGTCCCAAAATTAGGTTTCGACTTAGGAAAATGGATTGGAGTCGCCACCGATCATTTATTTAAAAATAAATGAGTTGATCGGATACCCTATTTCTTACCTGATCTGTGTCTTACCAAAAGATGTGTCGGATTCGGAAGTCGGTTACAACCAAGGAATGATTAGCACCCTTGAACTGCCCTTTCGGTACTACTTAATTTTCAGTTGTCTTTAGTTAAGAAAAATATAAATTTAAATTCAGAGGTAAAATAGCGATCTCGACTACTTACAATTGATTAACTTGAAAGTTGTACCCTTTAAGAGTGAATGTGTTAGAGTAAAGAAAATAAATAATATAAAGAAAATAAAATAATGAGGATAAATAAAAATAAAATGGAATAAATGACGAATGAACGAAACGAGATATGCATATAGTATAGTATTATAAAGGGCAAATATCCATAATAAGTAAAATGAATGCATATATTCATATGTAAATTAATAAAATAAAATATTTAAAAAAAATAAGTATAAGTTAAAATAAATAAGAGTGGTAAATAAAAAAAATACATATAATATATATCTATAATGTAACATATAAATAAATAAAATACTAATAGCATGTATATGTAAAAAAAATCAATAGTACTATAAAATATATATAAATACTATAATAAAAAAATTAAAATCCGAAAAATGGACTAAATTGAAAGAAAACCACGATTGAGGGTCAAAATCAAAAGGAAATCGAGTTTAAAATCTGAAATAGGAATCAAATTGAGTTTTTTTAAAAAAAATTATGATGACCAAAAATGTATTTTCCCCTATTTTTAAAGAAAACGCGCGGATCCTCCCCGGGTCGGGTCGACACGCGGGTCACCATTGGGTTTAGTATTTAACCCAAAAATTTTGTTTTGTCTGTCATTTTTCCTTCTTCACGAGCCAAGCCCATCCCTCTCTCTCTCTCGTTTCCTCTCGCGTGTTCTTCATACTGAAGAACAAGCCGCCGCCTCGTTCATAAAAACCCAGATCACGGTCACACGCCGCCTCGTCGCTGCCGTTCATGAGCGGCAAATTTTTTTTTTGCCTTTCGAAAACCCTTCGCCTCCCTTCTTTATAAAAATCAAAACTTTTTTAATAAAACGAACGCCTCGGGATTAGATTTAAAACAATAGATTTCGAAAACGTCCCATTCATCGGCCAAAAGCTTTTCTTTTTGTGGTTTAAAAAAACATGGAAACAACGACACGCAAGCCGTCAAAACAGAGAAATGTACGTTCTTTACCTTTTGTTCTTCTCAAAAAACGAACAAAGTCTCGATTTTGCCTGAGTAACGCTTGTGACTTGCTCGAAAGTTTCTGCTTTTATTTCCTACTCTCAATGTGTTACAATAGGTTTGATTTACACGTATTTATATCCTAATATTTGCTAAACATTTGAGTCCTAATCTAACTTGGCTGCTTGGTGTTGATGGCTTCGTGATAACCTTGCATCGAACGGCTCGGAGTGGGCGGCGTGTGGCTGTGAAACTCGAAGAGGAAGTCGTGAGGCGTAGGACTCTCGGCCGAGACTCCATGCGGCGCTGATGATGGTTGCTAAAGCGAGAGTGAGACGAGCTAGGGTTGGGGTGCCTTCACTGGGCCACGTGTTGAATTGATTTGGGCCCTGTAAAAAAATGTAAATAATATATATATGTTATATGGATGAATATATATTATATAAAATTTATAATATAAATATATATTATATAACATAATATTGAGGAACAAAAAATTAGTGTCTTCACTGGTGTGATTTATTAGCAGCGTCCTCGACAAGGTTGGTTGAAGAAAAATTTTGATGAAAGCCATAATCGGGAGTCGGGGCTCGCTTCCTGTGGAAGGGATATTCCAGATTTATTGGCATTTGTTCAGCCATAATTTTATGTAATCAAATAACAATGAGGTGACGTTTGGTTGGATGGAATTGGAGAGAATTGAAATCTAATTCCACCACTTTCCCATGTTTGGTTCAAGTTTTCCAAAGGAATTGGAATACCTCATGGCTTCAACTTTCTATTAAATTAGGGAAAATGAATTTCATCCAAGAATGGATGGAATTCAATTCCCTTATTTGAGGGAATTGAAATTTGACCATACTACCCTCATTAATCTTTTGGTAACTTATTCATATATTAAATAAAAATATTTTTTTATTAAATAAAAATACTACCCTCATCATATATTCGGGGCTCGCTTCTTGTGGAAGGGATATTCCAGATTTATTGGCATTTGTTCAGCCATAATTTTATGTAATCAAATAACAATGAGGTGACGTTTGGTTGAATGGAATTGGAGAGAATTGAAATCTAATTCCACCACTTTCCCATGTTTGGTTCAAGTTTTCCAAAGAAATTGGAATACCTCATGGCTTCAACTTTCTATTAAATTAGGGAAAATGAATTTCATCCAAGAATGGATGGAATTCAATTCCCTTATTTGAGGGAATTGAAATTTGACCATACTACCCTCATCAATCTTTTGGTAACTTATTCATATATTAAATAAAAATATTTTTTTATTATTTCGGGTCGGGTTTCTAATTCATATATTCAGGTCGGGTCGGGTGAAACTTTATTTTGGTCGGGTCGGTTTTTTTAAGTGTGATATTCGGGTCAAGTCGAGTTCGGGTTTAGGGTGAAAAATACCCGACCCGAAAATATATATAATTTTACCTTTTATATTTAGGAATAATTACAATAATACCTCTCTCTATATATATTTTTTCAATTAAGTCACTGTTTTTATTGAATAAAAATATTTTTTTATTATTTCGAGTCGATTCGGGTTGTATTTCTAATTCATATATTCGGGTCGGGTCGGGTGAAACTTTATTTTGTTCGGGTCGGGTTTTTTAAGTGTGATATTCAGGTCGAGTCGGGTCGGGTTAGGGTTTAGGGTGAAAAAAACCGGACCGACCCGAAAAAAATAATAATTTTACCTTATATATTTAGGAATAATTACAATAATACCCCTCTATATACCCCTCTATATATAATTTTTTCAATTAAGTCAATGTTTTTATTGAATAAAAATAATTTTTTTATTATTTTATGTCATGTCTGGTCGTGTTTCTAATTCATATATTGAATAAAAATAGTTTTTGGTATATTTTTTTGTAACTAATTAACATACTCCGATTGGAATATATCGAAATATTGCTCTATCTTTTGGTAACTTATTAACATATTTTGATTGTGATGATTTTAACTTATGATGTTTATTAGCATGATTTTTATAATTTATTGAAATGAATATTCAATTAATAAAATGAAAATTTAATATATTTTTTTAATTTTTTATAATATATTACTACATGTAAGTTGTAAAACAAACTAAAATAAAGCAAAAAAATAAGAAGGGCAATTCTGTCATTTTACATTACTGAAATCAAATTCATCTGATATGTCTGCAAACCAAACATAATATGGAATTGGATTCCAATTCTATTTCCTGCCAACCAAACAGAATATGAAATTAGACTCCAATTCCTGACAGATTCCAATTCCTTCACAGATTCTAATTTCCTCATAAACATTACAGCGAACCAAACGCCACCTAAAAGAATTCACTTTATCAAAAACAACTAACAATATTATTAGTTAATATTTTTTTTATAGAAAGTTGTTAGTTTTATTTAAAAATAGAAAATATTTAAAATTACAATGAAGATTTACGAGTATAACCGTAAACGTAAACTAAATTATAATTAGGACATTTTACTATAATCATTGACACAAAAAACTCGCCAGCTAAATCACATAAGAATCATAAAAGGAAAATGTTAAAAAAAACCTAACCAATGCTAAAACAAAATAAATATACGAATAAATTTGACTATCGGTAAATAAACCACAAAAGGAGATGAAACTACTAAAAGACAAAAATCATAAATCAGAGTCAAACGACGTTAGAAAACTGTCCACAAGCACAAAATGCGTATCCAAATTAATCCGATGATCCAAAGCAGAGAAGATTAGCATGATAACAAATAAGCGTCATCTTGATCAGTCATGACGATGTCAAATCCAATCTTAAGAAAAAAGATAAAAGAAAAAAGGCAAAAAATCGTAAGCTACCAAAAGACAGAGAAAAACGTGTCACAGAGGCTGAGAAAAACGTGTCACAAAGGTATAATTATTCTTATTAAAAACTTAAAAAAATATAACTGACGGAAGGCAACCAACATCAAAATCAGTATCACCACCGGTTAAATAAAATTAAAGAATAAATAATTTAATTGATCAATAAAATTATCACAAATTATAAAGAATAAAAAGAGAGAAGAGAAAGTAGGAGGAAGAAATCGGATAGTGTTTTCAAAAAGCTATTTTTGATTTACTATTATTAGTTCACATCTTTAATAACTTATAAAAGTAAAACATCATATTATTTCAAATTAAAGTAAAAAAATTAAATTCAAATTTACCAGTATGGTAGAGAGATTAAAGCCAAATTAGACCAACTTTTTATGATTATTTAAGGGGAAAAAAAAGAAATGAAAATACCACTGTGTCTGTTACCTTGAGAAACATCACAGCCGTTATCATCGAGAGCATAGCCCACTAAAGCGGATCTTCGAAGTTGGTGCCCAAGTGATCGACGACTGTGATATTGGTTTGCACGATAATAAAACCGTGAAAGGCGTGGCATATAATATAAAGATGGAAGCTTCATGGGAAGTTTGAAAATGCTTACCAAAAGAAGAAAAAAATGGAAGAGAGGCAGATAATAGCCAAAAGGTAAAGATAAGAGCTGATTCGAGTTTTTTTCCCCTTTTTTAATTTAGTTGAGCTGAGTTGAGTTGTCGCTTTTTCTCAATCAGTACCGAGTCGCTTTACCAACCAAACACTCATTTTTGTTAATTAATCTTTCCATGGATTCTAATTATCGGTCCCTCTTTGCTTAATTATTTTCCGTTTGTCTTCCTGCTTCTTTTGTTGATTTCAACCCTCGATTCCTCGATGCTGCAATGTAAGTTTTTCTCGAGAGTTTTTTTTAATATTTTTTTTGTTTTAAGAATTTAGATTTATGAGAAATTAATCTTTTATATTTTGAATCATTTGTTGAGCTAAATTATTGTCATTAATTTACTTTTAAACGAAATGGGAAAGGAAATCTGGCGATGTCATTAGGCTCTGATTCAAACGACTGCTGTGGATCTCTATATTATTTTTAAATGGAGTATATGGATCTGTAAACGAGAATTTATTCCTGTGAAAACGTTGATTTTAGCTGGATTATACTTAATTTACTACGGTCGGCATGTATTTTCTGGAAGTAATAAAATGTAACGATAATCGTTATTGTTCTCGTTTTGCTTTTACATCGTTATTTTCGATTTGCTTTCATCTTCCATTGCCTGCTTGTCTGATTCTTTTTAGAAGCTCTCTTGATCAATTCAATGTATTCTCATTGCATTCAGTATTATGATATTTGTCTTCTTTGACTCATATTAACTGATTAAGGCAAGGGTTTCACCGTTTCTTGTTTTATTATCGCTTTTTCATAGCTCTGATGATCTATGCTAAAATTTGCTTCCCTCTTTGTATGTGTGTCTATCTGGCTGCAATCTTATCTGGTTGTTTTTTTCCGTACATGCAAGGGTTTAAGTAACCAAAATGCAGCTAGCAATATAGAAATGGGTGTGCACCTTTGCATGCCCAGAGTTGGAGACCATAATGTTTGCTGATAGTGCGAATGAGGAATCACTTAGTTGGGATTTTGAGTCTCTAACTGTATCAAAACGGCTTGTGAGGAGTGTTAGCCAGAAGTCGAGGAAGAAAAACCATAGAGCTGAAGAGGATGAAGAGGATAAGGTGAGAAGGGTTTCTTTGAAATGTCTTCCACTATACGGTAGTGGTGGTGGTTGCAAAGTCGGTGCTGACACTGGTGAGGAGTTAGGTGATCCAAGTTGGAGGAGAAGGTCAAGTACCAGTGAAGACGGAAAGGCGTACAAATCAATTTGTGGTATTGAGGATAATAATTTCGATTGCTTCTCATATGGCATGAGGGAGAAGTTTTGGAAGAAAAGCAATAGAAAGGATTTAGATCTTGAGGAATCGGTACGAAACAGCAGGATATATATCTTTCTTCCAGATGACATTCTTGAGATGTGCTTGGTGAGACTACCATTGACCAGCCTTATGAATGCCCGCCTAGTGTGCAAGAAATGGAGAAATTTGACTACAACTCCCAGGTTTTGCAGATGAGACGAGAAGGTTCATTTCAAAAACCATGGTTGTTTCTCTTTGGTGCTATTAAAGATGGATATTGCTCTGGGGAGATACATGCACTGGATGTGTCTCAAGATCAATGGCATAGGGTTGGTGCTGATATCCTAAGAGGAAGGTTCATGTTCTCGGTTGCCAGAATGCTGGATGATGTTTATATTGTTGGAGGTTGTTCAAGCCTAACCAACTTTGGGAGGGTGGATAGGAGCTCATTCAAGATGCACAAAGGTGTATTGATCTTTAGCCCTCTCACTAAATCGTGGCGCAAAGCTTCATCTATGAGGTATGCTAGATCAATGCCTATTTTAGGAGTATCCGAGGTCTGTTCAGATTTCTCGATCATTCAAAGCCATCAGAATCGACATGAGAGGCAGTTTCCCAGATCACGAGTTGGTGGGGTGTCAGATGTTTATGAGGATCCTCACAGGCTTTCACTCAGACGGCAGTACGGAAATGCTTTTGATGTAAATGAGCCTTCATCATTACCAAGTAGAAAATCATACAAGTTTGTCAGACAAAGAAGTGAACAACCAAATACGAAGGTTTGTAAAAGATTTGTGTTGATTGCTGTTGGTGGTCTTGGATCTTGGGATGAGCCACTGAATTCTGGTGAAATCTATAATTCTGTATCAAATAAATGGACTGAAATCCAAAAGTTGCCTATAGACTTTGGTGTCGTTTGCTCTGGGGTTGTTTGTAACGGTATGTTTTATGTTTGCTCCGAGAATGACAAGTTAGCAGGTTATGACATAGAAAGAGGCTTCTGGATTGGAATCCAAACCTCCACATTTCCTCCCCACGTTCACGAATACCATCCGAAACTTGTTTCTTGTAATGGTCGCTTGTTTCTGCTTTCTGTCTCTTGGTGTGAGGGAGATGAGCAAATTGGCCGGAGAAACAAGGCGGTGAGAAAAGTGTGGGAGCTAGATATGTTGTGTCTTACATGGATCGAGGTCTCGATACACCCTGATGCTCCAATGGACTGGAACCCTGTTTTCATTGCCGACAAGGGCTTAATATTCGGGGTTGAAATGTTTAAAATATTTGGTCAGGTGTTGACTTTCTTCACTGTGTGTGATATGTCTAGCACGGAGATGAGTTGGAGCCATATTTCTAGGAATCACATGGCTCATGAATTGGATGCTTCTTCTTGCATGACTAAGACAATGACGGTGCTACATCTGTAATGTCTTCTGCAGCACACTGATTCCATCAGAAAATCATAGAACTTCGTTCGGGGATATTGGTCATACGTTTCTTTCAACCTGTGAAATTTTCGTATTTATTTTTATTTGAATCTCCACAATTTGTACAATGGCGACCGCATCTGGTCTGTAGTGCTTATTCAGTGTTAGCACAGTTATGGTCATTTGTGGTCTTCCCAGCGATTTCTTCACCATTGTTCATAAACGGATTGTTTATTTTTCATCTTGCTTCTGTTGCATCCTTAATAAATTTCTGACATGTTTATTCTTTAATTTGCTTGAACATCTTGAAGAGCTCATTATGTTACCGGTAACTGGTATTGTTCAAAGCAGAGATCATCCCGGTATTGTTTGAAGCTGAGAATTTTGGATGGTCAAGGAAGCTGAGACGGGAAAATAAAGGGCTGCAGCATTCAATTGCAAAACAAATAGTAGTTCGTATAAAGAGATGAAGGTCAATGAAAATAACATAATTAGAAACAAATTATCAATTTCTTGAAACCCTCTACAAGTGGGAAATCAATCGATATACAATAATATATACTTGCAAAACTATCCATGTAGGGAGACAAAGGATGAAACTGAAAATACATACACGTTGCTACTCTCCATATAATGCATATGGAAGTAGCAATACAACAAATTTATCACATGTTTTGAAAAATTCCGGAGAAGTTTGGGATTTTGTCGACGTGCTTCAGGGCACGCTCGGCAATCTGTCGGGTTCTGTGGTCGGCATGGTGGAAGGCATCGACAAGTGCAGTGCTAACATTTTGATCTCCAGAAACTTCATAGGCTATATCCTCGGTTCTTAGAAGTCTCTCTACGACCCAAATGGCTCTTCTCCTTAGGTTCTCTGTTTGTTTCTCGAGTAACACGTCGAGAATGGGCTTAATTGCTTCTGCCTAGCACAAAACAAACACTCCTTGCTCGATAGCAACTCCGTCATCCAACAAGGTGGAAAGTGCAGCAAGTGCTGCTTCGACCACCTTCGCGTTGTTGTGCTCCAAGAGTGCAACCAACTTATGTACAGCCTGTCCTTCCAAAAGACAAAAGCTCTCTTTAAGTGAGCATGTTCCCTGGTGGACACGACACAATCCTGTTATGACGGCCTGTTTGCTGAAACATGGAAAGATAGAAGCACAAACCCTTGGTGGTGGCAACTCCGGCAGTCTTGTCAAATTTTTGGATTCCTGAGATAAGTTCTCCAAAGCCGTGGCGGAGACCATCTGGACGTTGTCGAGACCATTGGACTGAAGCAATTCAATGAATAATGCTGCAAGATTGTACTCACGGCAAAGAGCGACAGCATCGGGTTCCTCTGACAAGACAAAAGTAACCCTTGCAAGCACACGAACAAGTCCTTCAAGGACTGGTGTTACAAAGCGGGTGCCCCTAATCTCTCCTTGTCTGATCTTGACAACTCTAGAGATGATCAGCTGAAAAGCACCTTCGTCTAGCATTTGCCTTGTGAGGCCCAAATCCCTCTCCGGAAGTTCAGCCAAGAGGCCGGCAGCCGCTGCCTGTTCTTCAGAAATTCCCGTGTTTTCTGATATGACTCTGATTAGGCTGCTGAGCTGACCAACTGTGCCACGTAGTGCATCTGCTAATTCCTGACCCATGTAAGGAGAGAGATTCTGGAGAAGTTTTATGCACGCCATTCGCAAATAATGCTGTGGAACCTCTATAAACTGAACCAAACTGATGGTAGCTCCAGAGCTTTTAATTGCAGCAACAACATTCAGAGCTGTTGTCGGAGAACTAGTGAGTCCCACTAGAACTTGAAGAAGTTCGCACTCAATTGGCGGACCAGTGTTGCTGATTAGATGCAGTAAGTTATGGACATTGTCTTCAGAAACAAGAGTCTGATGGTCTGGCCCAATAGGAATGGAGTCAACATCATACCCCGAGTTTACGACATTTGACAGAATTGTGGCCGAGACTTCTTTAAGTCGCATGGGAAGCAGATTGGCCCCAACGGTAAAGAGGTCTTTGACAAGAGGGGGAAGTATTCCTGCCTCGATCAACACCTTGGAGCTTGCCTCGTAAGATGAAATCTGGTTAAGTGCCTTCAGAGCAGCTTCTCTTGATTGCATGCTGCCACTTTTCATGAGATTGATTAGAGATTCACCTACGGTTCTTGCAACATAGACTTTCACATCATTGTTCAAAACCAACTCACCAAGATAAGCGGCCATAGACTGCTTTGTTTCAGGCGTACCTGCAACAGTGTCATTTACATAAATTATAGAGAAGTAGCAACGTGCATGATTAGAATGAAAATTTCAGAGATAAAGAATTATCAGCTAAGGATACCAACAAAAAACTGCCAAAGCAAGCAAGTGTTTTATCTCAGATCAAGCAGCAAAGAAATAACTAGCAAGTTTCAGGGTTAGGGCTAATGAACTAAGAACTATTTATGAACACTAGAGGCCTATGTTACTCGGACTCAGGTGTAAGTGTCAGACACAGCTATGTATCTGACACGGGTATGATCAGATTTTTCCAAGTCTCTCTATGTACTTGGAGGATCATTAGAGGTCATATCCCCAAATTCAAGTGTAGGACACGAGTGTCAAACACGGGTACATGAGAAATGAAGATTCCAAGCAACATAGCTAGGGGCAATCATTGTTGTGTGAAAGGATCAACACTCAACTGACAAAGCTGTACATGACTCCATCTCTAAAAACAGAGGCCCTTTATGCTGGCAGAAAGTTAGGAAAACATAAAATTATCAAGGAAAAAGAGAAGCACCTTCAAGAATCTGGGTCAAAAGAGGCTGCAGTCTACCATTTTCAGCCATCTGTCGGACATTGTTTTCAAACTTTTCCAAATTTTCTAGAGTTTTGTCAGCTTTCTCAACAGTTAAAATGTTCTCAGATTTACTGCTGGTCATTCCGACTAATATAAGAATTGCTCCATTAATAGAACCAATCTTCTCACACACGGCTTCGGATTTTGAAAGTTCATACAGCAATGAGACTGCCTCCTCCCTCTCCTTGGATTGTTCATGGGACAAGAATTTAACTATTGTACGCACAGTGTCCCCCTCAGCCAATATTGCCTGAAAAATAATGCATAATTAGTTAATTATCCATTACTGGATGCATACACGACAATGATGTCATTGTCACTCAACAGGAAAACATCAAACCTACAACAACCTTATTATCTTCATCTTCCTCGACCACTACGAGGAGTGTCTCCAATGCTCTACACCGAACCTTACGGCTGCTGCTCTTTAGCATGTCCACAATCATAGGTATTAGATCAGCATTGCGTACAAGATGCTTATTGGACCGACTTTTTTGGCAGATATGCTGGATAAACTTAAGAGATAGCAGAACATCATTTTCTGAACTGTTCATATTTAGAGATCTAAAAGCCATATCAAGGGTTGCTTCATTCCTAGTTGTCCACTCTTCAATGGTATTCCGCAAAGCGATACTCGGGTTTAGATCGGTGCTTTTCAGTTCTTTTAGGGTCAATGGGCAAACCAGCTTTCTTCCACTTTCCCTGCATTCCTTGAACCATTTCTCAATGGCTTCACGTTCAAATGTTTGGCCATTTTCTAACGTCACAGGGTCACGCATAACTTGTTTCGTCAAAGGACAAACAAATGCATCATAAAGGGGTTCTATGTGCAGCCTCTCAAAATGATGGCTATCATCTGACTGACTGCCAGGGTCATAACTTCCATCCCAGCTCGCAGCCATCTGACTTAAATAGTCACTGCAAAAACGAAAAGAATGTAAATAATCGGCTTATTAGAAACTTGCACCATTAACAGAGACAATAGCAATTGGAATAACCAATGAGATAACAATTGTTAGAAGGCAAACAGGAAATAATAAAAGACAGCAAAACCTAAGTCCGAGGGTCCAACCAAAATCAAGGAGCTAATACATGACCATAACATATGCTATGTTTTGGAATGGAAGTAGACAATATGACAGACATGATTCCAGTTTAACCCTCCATTAGCTTTGCCAACAGAGATGAAGTGAGGCGCGCTTGGCAATTTTCACGTTTCCGTCCCTCCCAAATATTGAACATTTAATTTAGGCCTTTTAACCCTTGAGCTAAGTGGAAAAATCACACTTTTGACCCTCCTAAAAATCATTTATTTAATTTAAGCCCTTTAAAGATTTTTTTTAGTTTTATCTAGGCTCTCCCAAAATCAAAGAGCAACTATCTTTTAAGATACTAAATAGTACTAAAATGAAACAAAAACTAAATGTTATATATGATTTAAAAAATTAAAAGTTTAAGTACTAAAACAAAACAAAAATGATAGTTTATATATTAAATACTTAGTTTACCCAAAATTTAACTTTTGATCAATTTTTATAGCATTTATTAATTATTCATTATTAATATCTTTTAAGAGAGTGTAAATAAGGACGAATGGAAGGAATTTAGGATATGATAGAATTCTTTTAAAAGATTCAAATTTTTAATATATTTTGTATCCATACTTTAATTTTAAATCTTTTAAGTTTTAATTTAATGTTATAAATTTAAATCGTCAACATAAAATCATACATTCATCTCATAATACATAGATAAAAATTTGTATTGTACTATCGATTATCAATTAATTTGATAAGATATAATGATAGATCATTTAAATACTCGAAAAATGAATCAAATATATTAAATTATGTTAATTTGAAGAAGAAAAAATGGAGAAAATATAAATATCAATTGTTCAATTAAAACTAGGAAAAGCTTTCAGCTCATCCGGGTAATTTAAAATGAAGAAAATTATCAATATCAATTATTAACAATGTAATTATCTGAAATGACTGATACTGTTCTTCCTAAACTTTAGTCCAACGGGTTCGGTATTAGAACGGCAGGAAAACGCCGGGAAATCATCCGGGCAAGCCAAACTGTTCGGCTAGATTAGAGGACGAATCAAAGCTTCGTGACGATTCAAGTTTCCCAATCAACCGATCAATCGCTGCCCACAAGGAAACATAATGAAGTTGTTGATGCAAAACCAACTTAAATCGTGTAATTGAAAATTTTCTGATGGAAAAATGCTACTTAGTACCTGCATCGAAATTCTGGAAATAGAAGCTTTCAGCCCCGGTTGCAATGTTATCAACGAAGCCCGAACTCACTGGTTTCGTCCTCTTATCTTTCGTACCGGAATCTTCCGGACTCGCCACCGCTTCTCCGGAACCCGTTGGCGCCTGCAACTTTCTCTTCGAGCGAGCACGGCGATTCTGAAACCAATTATACACATTCGTCTCCGAAATCTGACCGTGCTGGGCAAGTTCCGATGCTATCTCCTTGATTTTCTGCTTGCTTGGAGTCCCGGTCCCTTGCTCGTACATATTCTCCAGAATCTGAAGCTGCACTGCCGTTGGTGTCCACCGTTGCCTTGCGGTGATCTTCTGGCAAATGGAGGCTGATACTGGATCACAGTACAGATTCCCCAATCTAATTCCTGAAACACGAAGGAAAATAAATTGAATAATCCGTGAAGAGAAAAAGAAACAATATGGGGAGGGGGCGAGGGAGAGCAGTGAAGAATCAAAACCAGTGAAATCGTGGTGGGGAGACATGGATTTGTGCAACTCAGCGAGTTGCTCAGAAATCGAAGCATAGGCAACGATCTGTTTCCTCAATTCCTCTACCTGTTCATCAGTCATCACTTTACCGCAAACCCCATTATGGGTTTGGTATTGCAAATACTCTTCTGCTTGTTGTGGTTCTTGATTTTCCCACTCCATTTTCTCTGTATTTATTCTTTTTTTTTATTTTCTCGGAAAATATTCCACCATTGGAAGTCTCAGTTTCAATTTATTGAGGAAGAAGCAGCAGAAAAGAAGTTAATTAGCAGCATGGGTAAAGATGCTTTGATTTGAAAAGTGAGCAATTAAGGGAGCGAAAAAACTGCATAAATTAGCAGATTTTAGAGAGAAAGTTCCGAGTCAACCTTGTGTCTGATTATGGCAACTTGGTATTTCTGTCTACGTTTGAATATTGAATTTTAGTGCCAAAATTAAAAAAAAACATAAAGACCAAATTTAAAAGAGTTAATTGCATCATGTTTCCTTAAAGTATGACTTTAATTTTAAATTAGTCCTTAAACTTTTAAATATTTTAGTTTTATCCCTAAACTATGACTATCATTCAAACTTTGAACATTTCAATTTCATCACTTAACTACGACACTCTTTCTAAATTGATCCCCAAACTTTTTGAACATTCCAATTTCACCCCAAACTATACATATATACTAATCACAATTCACGTCCCAAGTTAAAAAAATCAGTTGGCCAAATTATATTATTATATGTTTGTAAAAACAAAATTTAGGTTAAATTATGGTTGAAGTTAATTATATACTTGGGTGGATTTGGGATGAAATTGGAATATTTAAAAAGTATGGAGACCAATTTAGAAAGAGGGTTATAGTTTAGGGACGAAATTGAAATTTTCAAAAGTTTAAGGACTAATTTAGAGTGATTGTGTTTAAGTATGAAATTGGAATATTCAAAAGTTTAAGGACCTATTTAAAATGAGGGTTATAGTTTGGGGACATATGATGCAATTAACTCAATTTAAAATCATACTCTTTTCTTTATATTTTTGGAAAATAGTTAACTGGTTCTAAAAATGTAATTTTTCCATTTAACTATTAGGCTAAAGGTGGTTAATTGGATTATTTAGATTTGAGAGGGACTAAACGCATAATTTCACCATTAAACTAAGGGGACCAAGGTGTGCATATAACCCGTCGGTCATCATTGCATAGAATTAAGGATGTTGAAGGGTAAGGTCGGGTTTTACTTGAATTTGATATGAGAATTAAACTCTATCATATGTATTCAATTTGATATAGAGTTTAATAAAATTTCACCACGATCGAAATTTGATTTGATTTTTCTAATCAAAACACGTATTCGTCTGGATCCTGGTTTAAGAAAGTTTTACCATCTAAATTTCTTATATATAATTGTTTTTATTAGGTAAAATAAATATATAATTAAAAATAAAATAAAATATTATTACAATTATTTTTAAATACATACAAATAAATATAATATTAAGAGACTAATCATTTTTTTCCGTAAACTCGAATTTAATAGTATCTTATTTAGTTTAAATTAGAGTTTTCAAAATAATAATATTATGGTATAAAGAAATTGTTTATATCTTCACATTAATGAGATATAAAGAAATTATGATGGTAATACATTTTACTAAAAATAAAAATCTGTTTTATATTAGCTTGAAAAATAAATTATATTAACCAAGACATGTTTCACGAACTAAACATAAAAAAATACAAAATATATCATAGAAAATATATAAAGTAGATTTATAATATCATTTAAGGCGATAGGGGCATTATCAGGGGAACAAAAAGGGCAATAGGGGCAAGGTTTTACCAAATTAACCCGACGTCCCAACGAAGTAGGCGCGCCAACAAAAGGAAAGGAGAAAAGAGAAAGCAAAGGCCGCAGTGAGAGAGAAGAAGCACAAAGGAAACACAGAAGGGCAAGAGGTGAATCTGGGAAATGCCTATGCTGAGGAGCTCCGCAGCCAATACGGTAAAAGCACACGGATCGATGACGTGAAATGAAGTATCAAAATCCCGCCTAAACCCCCCGACTTTCATTTCGTGCGCAATTGAATTTCAATTTGCACCCCCAACTTAATATCTTCGCCTGTCGCCCCACGCTCTCTCAACTCGCTTCCCAATCCCTTCATTTGCTCTACCTTTGTTTCCCCTCTCTTTTCTCTCCTTTAATCCTAACCCTACAACGCTCCAACCAGGTATGTTCCCATCGATTTTCCACGACTTTTGGCGCTTTTCGTCGATTTTTGGACGATTTCTCTTGCCTTCTTCACTGATCTGTGTTTTTTATTTGTAGGATTCAACATGAAGGGAGGAAAGTCTAAGTCAGAGACGAAGAGCGCCAAGTGAGTTTTTGTTTCTTCACTCGCTGCGGTTTTTTGTTTATCGGTCTTAGATCGCGTTTTCTGAGATACGAGATCAAGACGACAGTAGTGATTTTTTTATCGGTTGATATTAACTATTTTTTCTGGATTTTCTGTTAGGCTCAACGTGAAATCCAAAGCCGGAAAGAAATCTGGCAAGGCTGCTAAGGATCCAAACAAGCCAAAGAGACCTGCTAGCGCCTTCTTTGTGTTCATGTAATTTGCCTTTTGCTCCTGGCCTACCACTCTATTTCATATCATTAACAACTCTCAGCTGGTTTTGTCGTGTTTCGTCTATTTTTATGTTTGTTGTGAAGTTTCTGGCGTCTACGATTTTTGTGAAAATCACAATAGAAGTGGTCAGTTAAAGTGTTTCTTCTTACATGAATGAAAACCCAGTTCGATGAAATGATTGGGTTGATTACTATATTTTTATTATCTGATTAGTGTTACATTTTGTATTTTAGGGAGGAGTTCCGTGAACAATACAAGAAGGACCACCCTAAAAACAAATCCGTTGCTGCTGTAAGTCTCACTTATACACTTTATGTCTATGGTCTGTAGCCACATGTTACGATATTATTTTAACTTAATTAAATTTGTTTCTATTTTAGGTTGGCAAAGCTGGAGGTGACAAATGGAAGAGCTTGTCTGAGGCTGTAAGTATTTATTTGCCTCGTTTGGAACTTTAAAAAATGTATGTGCGATTGCGTTTTCTGATCCAATTTTAATCATTGTTTTCAGGAAAAGGCTCCTTATGTTGCCAAGGCTGAGAAGCGCAAGGCCGAATATGAAAAGAACATGAAAGCCTACAACAAGAGACAGGTAAATAAATCATTTGTGTTTTTAAGGTTCTTTTTCAATGTGGCTAATATTTGATGAACTCTCCAGGCCGAGGGCCCCAAAGATGAAGATGTGGAATCTGACAAGTCTGCGTCTGAGGTGAATGATGATGACGATGATGAGGAAGGCAGTGAAGATGTGGGTATCCACCCTTTCGGGGTTTTTGTTGTTATTTGATCATGGGTTTGCTATTGATTGACTTGCTGAATCTGTTCTCATTCAATGCAGGAAGATGATGAGTAGGGGATGAATCCTTGGGATAGTGTTTGATCAATGTAGGCTGTGATCTAAATCTTATATTAATGCTTTGATGTTTTCATTGTTAGTTCTCTAAGATGTCACACACCATCTAAAGTGAGAAATGTATCTCTGAATTTTCTTTTGACCTTCAAAATATTAAACGTATTTATAAGTTTAAAATGAATATTTTATTTTTATGTGTTTTCTCTATTTTTGTATATTTTATTATTATTTTTTATCTGTGTGATGTAAATTTTTTTTTTAAATCACTCATCGAATTTTTTTTGAAGTTCACATCTTTAATATTAAATATTTTTAATATTAAATATAAACGTTTTTTAATCAATATATTAATATTAAATAATTTTTTAATGTTAATTTTATTTTACATATTGAACTGTTCTGTGTGTAATCTTTTTTTATTTTTTTGTATTTAATCATACTGTCAACATTTAAAATTTGTAATAAATTTAAAATTTATCGATATTTTAATTTAATTACTATTTCAATAATAATAATAATAAAAAGATATTTATATTTATTAGAAGTATATTTATCTACCTTTTAGTAGTTTTCGAGTCTCGGTTTTAATTTTAAAGTTATTTACGCTACTAATAATTTTTCAACCTATTGATTTCATTTTTTTTTATATATCAGTTTACGCAAATTAAATTATTTTGTTACATATATTTTATTCAATATATAAATATAGATAACTACTCTTGTGGTAAAACGGTTTTTTTCAAAAGAATTTGAATGATCATTACAAAATGTGTCGACACATTTATACAACCTATAATATCATTTTCTACCTATAATATTTAATAAAAGTATCGACATTTATATTTTACCTTGAATATCACTTTCTACATGCAATCTGTCCCAAATGCTTCTTTACTCCAAAACCCAAACAACACATAAAAACTCTATTCGCGATTACTGTAATAATAAAAAATTAGGGTTTCGACAACATATTTTTCGATTCGATTGCAGCAACAAACAAACAAACTTCGCTTTAGAAACGCCTTCTGAAATGCAGTAACAATTACGCTTCGATTTCAAAAACTCATACGTTCTATCTATTTTCAGAGGATATTTAGCTATGGCCTTTATATTTTCATCGGATATGTTATTTATATTTAATCGATACAAATACAAAAGTGTCGATACTTTCGAAAGGATAATTACGTATTTCTTTGAAAATATCGATAATTTATTACACGTACTTACGAAAGTATTAACACTTTCAATATATCCGGTAGCGTTTTACCGGTTTTATCATTTTGATACCGATTTTATCATATTTTTAGTTATATCGTTGTGGATCGATACATTTTTTTTAAAGTATCGACACTTTATAAACGCTAAAACAGCTTCTCTTTTAAATTCACAAAGTGTCGATCCTTATATAAAGGATCGACACTTTCAATATATCCGGTAGCGTTTTACCGGTTTCATCATTTTGATACCGGTTTTATCATATTTTTACCTGTTATATCGTTGTGGATCGATACATTTTTTTTAAAGTATCGACATTTTATAGGCGCTAAAATTACTTCTCTTTTAAATTAACGAAGTGTCGATCCTTATATTAAAGTACCGACACTTTAAATATATCCGGTACCGCTTTACCAGTTTTATCATTTCAATATCGGTTTTGTCATAGTTTTACCTGTTATATCGTTGTAGATCGATACATTTTTAATTTGGATCGACACGAACCGACAAGTTAAGTTTGCCGGTTACGCAATTTTTTAATATTTCTTCATGACTTAGACCTACTATATTATTATTAGTCAACATTTCCGGTAGCGCTAAACCGAATTTATTAAATATCTTTTAATGTATCCGGTAACGCCATATATTAACCGTATATTAACCCGCCTTTCCTGATACATTCCCTTTGAGTTGTATCTGGTTTTCATTATTTTTATGCTCGATAGGTCTTTTTTTTCCCTTTTACTATTTATGCACTTGCGGTTGATTCTGTTCGATTTTATGTTAATTTCCCGATCCAAGGAGAACTATTTGTGTTGCCTTCTGTATTTATTGGTTTCCACCGGCGGTGTGCAACAAATGTTTCAAGCAATCTTGCTTTTATCTATTTTATGCTGTATCTAATGATTGGCATGCTTTTAATTGTGTTTTCTGGTTGACAGTCGATGTCAACCAAACGTTTTCCTTATGCTACTGAAGTCAACGATTGAACTTTTTAAAACAATAAAGTTGAAGGGAAAACGTTGTAGCCAATTAGCCAATCAGAGACCCCACCATATATAAAACAAGGGGTATATTCTATAAACGGTCCTCGAACTTTAGAAATTCATCATATAAATAACGACCTTGCAATTTGTCTTATATAAACGGTCCTTGCAAAAGTCAACTCTTACATGCAATTTGTCCTTGGTTTTGTACGGTTTATATTATAAGCATATTCATTAATATAATCGTTATAACTTAGGTGCTTATAACATACACAAATAAGTAAGTTGAGTAGCAAAATCTCTAGTTTTTTGATGGATATGATGTTAATTGTTCTCTCAATCCGCACCCCCTTTTCAAGGTATTTATCATAAAAGCTAACTTCCCCACCAGCACGAATGGTCAATGCTGCAGTACTCCTTGCTCCACAAAGCCCCTGTATCCCCAAAAAGCATATGTTATAACAGGGAAAAAGATTATATTCTTTCTAAATAAATTTAGGTCTAGAAGTTGGAATTTTACCCGTGGGGTGTCCGCTTCAACGAATATAGAGCTATGGTTGAACTCCCAGTCGAGAGCACAACTGCCTGGTAGTTTGCTTTTATCAGCTTTGACTCTGTACTCCATTAGTTTCTCAACCATTTCTTTCACCATTACCTCATTGTTGCCATGTTTGTTCAGCATTTGTCTGAAGCGTCGACCTAGTCGCATAGCGTGCAGAGTGGGAAAGGATGTTTCAATGTTCCAGTCTGCATCTGGTCTAAATGGTCTTAGCCTTTGGTTGTTTCTAGATCTACAGAAAGCTGTAGTCTGTGGTGGTTTGGAGAAACAAGTAAAAATGAATGAAGAAGACGATGAACAATTTGTGTAGGGTTGAAGATCCTCCCTTCAACTTTGTGTGAATATATTTATTTCTGAAACCAATAGTAGAGTGAGTGGCATCGGTCCTAGGATTGATGACTATCGATAAGTTTACAGATGAGTGGAATAGTCTCAGTTAAATAGTTGATTTAAAAGATAATGAGATAAACAATGATCATGTCAAAAAGAGATTGTAACCAAGTGGAGGGGATAGCCAAGTATCTTAGATAACCAAGGAGAGAGAACATAAATATGCAGAGGAGTAACAACAAACATGTAATTTACACACAAAATACAAAACATATAACTTCATAATACCCATTTGAAGTTGGGTCATTTTTTCTGTTGAGAAACATTGGGCCTTATATGATCCATGTTCAATTTTATTTCTTTCAATATATATATATTAATTATTTTAATTTTATACGATTTTAATAATTTAATCGATTTTCTCATTTATTACCATATAAAATCAACCCGATTAAATATATAATTTGATAAAAATAAATAAAACTGATTGTCTCAACTACTTTGCTCATAAAGTCAACAGGGTTGGCTCTAATTTCTTTCCTTCTCTGATTTCTTTCCTTGTTTACCACGTCAGTGTTTCGCTGCATGAGTAACTCCCCGACGCCGGCTTCGCCGGTGGTCACTTTGCCACCTTCTCTTGAACGGCCGGGCTCTCCTCTGCCGGCAGAGAGTGTAAGGGTTTCTAAAAAGGCTAGGAACGATTGTGCTCAGGGCAAGGGCGATTCTGCTTCAACGGGGGTGCGTTCCCCGACAATGGGCGACGTGATTATCAGTGACAATGCAACGAGCGCGGCTGGGGAATCTTGTGAGGGTCGAAAGGAGGGCCAAACTTTGTCGTTTGCTGACGCCCTAATGGGAAAACAGTTGGGATCTCAACAGACAATGGCGAGCATAGAGTACTACGATGTGACTCTGCAGGAAGGGGACGTTGAGATTGATCGCACTGGTCCTTATCCAATGGTGAAGTTCTCGGAGAGGGTTCATGCGACAATCGATCTCAATATGGGAAGAACTATAATTGTCCGTTTGCTTGGGAAATCAATTGGCTATATGACTATCTAGAACAAAATCAAATTTCTATGGCAGCCTCAAGGAAATTTCAAACTAATAAACTTGGAAAACAATTAATATATTGTTCGTCTTGAGAATGAGAGCAATTACTTGAAGGCACTAACAGAGGGCCATGGGTGATTTTCGGCAGCTATCTTACAGTCCAATCTTGGAGCATGCTTTTCAATACTGCGGATAATCACCCCTCGCAAGTGATTGTATGAATCAGGCTTCCAAGACTACCATACCGGTACTACTGCAAGTCTCTCTTTCGTTTGATAGTGGCTGAAATCGGTAAAGTGATTAAAGTGGCTTACAATACAACAGCGGGTCCTGGCCGTTGTTGTGGAACTGAATAAGTCGTTACTGCAGTGCATAGGCATCGACAATTTTGTCCAATCAGTTGAATATGAGGGCTTAGAGAATATACGCTTCCATTGTGGGGTCTATGGCCACTCACAAGAGTTGTGCGGGTTAAAGCAACAAGCTACGGTAGAAAAGAATGTCGAAAAGCCTGATGTTCCAGATCAATTGCCGAATGCCTTGGGTGATAAGGAGGATCTGTTTGGGCCTTGAATGGTCCCCAACACAGTTCATACTAATGGTCAATTTATTGGGGAATCAAGTAGGAAAAGTGTGTTTGCTAAAAAGATAAAGGCAAGCAGGTGATGAATCAAGCAGTGAAACACCAAAAAGCAGGAATGATGGTGCGAAAGCTTCACGAATTAAACAAGCTAATTTTTTCAAAGCCAAGGTTCATCCTTGAAAAGTAAGGGGGAGGCGATGAGGAGAGAGTCCCGCATGAAGTCAAATGACATGAGTCTAAAAAGCTTACGAGTTCGAAAGCAAATGAACTACAAGATTCCTAATTGTCCGTTACTTGCGGAGTGGGTGCAATCAGCATCTAAAATGATTGATGCCATCCAAATAGAGAGAGCCCCTATGGAGGAATGCGAGGGAAGCCAAGCTGATTTAGGAGGGGATTTGACTGATAAGGAGAATGCAAGGGTTGAGGAACACTCACCTGCTGGGGCTCCGGTTAGTCGTTATGTCCCCTGCTTTTTCTTTTCAATTATTAATCATGTTTAGTTGCTTGTTTTGGAACAGTCAGGGTGTTGCAAGCCCTTCCTATTTACGACATTTCAAGAAATTTGTCGCGGATTTTAATCCGTCAGTTGTGGGTCTTCTGGAGACTAGAGTGAGTGGCTGCAAAACTGATACGGTAGTTAAGAAAATGGGTTATCCTAATTCTTTCCGAATTGAGGTACATGGGTTCAGTGGAGGTATCTGGCTCCTTTCGCAGAATAATGTTCAAGTGATGCTTCACTCTGTTTCGAATCAGTTCGTACATTTCCAGGTTCAATCTGAGTCCCTTCCTTCCTCCATCTTTGTTACAGTGGTTTATGCGGGCCCTCACATCTCAATTAGAAGGAATTTATGGCCGAAACTTGCTATGCTTGATCCGGGAAGTAATAACCCGTGGGTTCTTGGGGGCGACTTCAACGCTATTTTGAATTCGGATGAGCGGATTGGGGGTGCAGCGGGGCGTTGTGGAATATGTAAGAGTTTTAATGAATTCATCTTTGACAATAGTTTGACTGATATTGGTTTTGAAGGATCGTTTTTCACTTGGGCGAGGGGCTCTCTGAGACTACTTCTTGACAGATGCTTGGCTAATGAAGATTGGGTTAATACTTTTCCGGAATCTATAGTTCTTCATCTGGATCGTCTTGGGTCCGACCATAGGCCTATTCTCTTACAAGCTAAAAAGATGGAAAAGAAGCGATCAAACAGCCCTTTTCGTTTTTTATTTCCTTGGCAGGAGCATCCTAATTTCATGGAGGTCCTCAAGAATGCTTGGAATGAGTCTTGTACGACACATCAGAATCTTCAGAATCTCCAGTTTAAGTTATCGGATTGGAGCACAGAACACTAAGTTCTTTGGGGCGATTGGGAGGAAGAAAAAGGAATTAACAGCCCGCCTTAGAGGAATTGACAGGGTGCTAGCTACTCGGGATTCAACCGTTCTCCAAGAGCTGGAACGTCATCTGAAAGAAGAGCTGGATAGATTTTTGGAGATTGAGGAGGATGTTTGGTTCCAAAAATCGAGAAGCAATTGGATCCTTCATGGGGATCGGAACACTTTTTATTTCCATGCTTGCGCTAAGAGTCGGCGTCGAATCAATACTATTTTGTCGCTCAAGTTAGATGACGGGAGTTGGTGTTCAAATCAACAAGTGCTCCAATGGGTGGCAGTGGATTATTTTAGAAGCTTATTCACGAGTGGGGGGAACGCTTTTTACTCCTACCAGATTCGTGGCCAAGTTCCCCGGATTTCTAGCTCTTCTCTTCAATTGCTTGGGGAGCCAGTTACAGATGAGGAAATTAAGAATGTGATCTTTGAAATGCACCCTTTCTTCTACCAAAAGAACTGGGAGGTAGTGGGACCGAATGTCTGTCGTCTCGTGAAAGAGAGCCTTTATCAAAGCAACATTCCTGCTGAAATCAATCGCACCCTTCTAGTACTTATTCCTAAAGTGGCTAATTCGAAGAATATTACTCAATTTCGGCCCATCAGTTTATGTTCCGTGGTTTTGCAAGACGATCACTAAGGCTATCGTAAATTGGCTAAAACCTCTTCTCCCTCGGTGGATATCTGAAAGCCAAACAAACTTCGTTCCTAGTCGAAGCATCACCGACAATATCATTGTTGCGCAGTAAGTTGTCCATTCAATGAAAAAGAAAGTTGGTAAAGTGGGCTGGATGGCAATTAAGGTCGATCTCGAGAAAGCATATGATTGACTAGAGTAGTCCTTTATCAATGATACTTTATTAGATATGGGGTGCCGGGATAAGCTTCACACTCTAATTGTGAATTGTATTTCGTCGGTTTCCACGAAAGTGCTTTGGAATGGATCTTTATCGAAAACTTTTAAACCAACATGTGGTATCCGGCAAGGAGATTCCCTATCTCCTTACATTTTCATGCTCTGTATGGAACGACTCGCCCAAGCTATTAATAGTGCCGTGGATGAAGGTAGTTGGCGCCCTATTAAATTGAATCGAAAATGTCCCATTTGTTTTTTCTTTTTTTGCGGAAGACCTAATTCTGTTTGCAGAATCCACGTTGCCTCAACTCCGGATTATTAAAAAAAAATTAATCGACTTTTGTAATATTTCCGGGCACAAGGTGAGTTTGAACAAGACCACTATTTACTTTTCCAAGAATGTACCTGATGATCTATGTCATGACATTAGCCGGGGCTTCGACCTTGGCAAGTATCTTGGTGTGCCTCTATGTTGAGAGATCACGTGTGTAATGTGTAAAGTGTGCATGTAGTTAGGGTGCTCTCGGCTGTATGCAAGCAAAAGCCTTAGGCTGTTGAGTTTGTTAAGCAATTAGGTGTGCAGTTAGCAGACGGTTTTAACCGGTTTGTAGCTATAAAGCTGGATACTCAGCTGAGTAAAATAATACATCTACCATTTCTGATTCATTTCTTAAGTTTCTAATATGGTATCTTTCGCCAAACGTTCTGGGCTTCTTCTCTACTGTGCACTCTGAAGACGATTGCTAGGTGTTGCTTCTTGTTCGATTCACCATGTTTACAAACAAGAAAGTAAACGTTGTGCTAGACGAGACTAACTTCCTTCTCTGGAAGCAGCAGGTCCTTCTCACGGTTCGTAGCCATCGGCTCGAACGACTTCTCAATGGCACGATGACAGTACCACCTGAGTTTGTTGTTGATGAAAATGGAGTATCTGTTCCCAATGAAGCATTTGAAGACTTCATGGCACAAGACAGTGCTCTCACCTCGTGGCTCTTGTCCACGATCAGTGCTCCGCTACTACCACAGTTTGTAGGTGCGGAGTCTGCAACGGTTGTGTGGCGTACTGTGGTGCAGTTCTTTGCCAACCGCTCGACAATAATGGTCATGAATTTACAATACAAGCTTCAGTCGCTGAGGAAAGGTGATGACTCCATGCGTGTATATCTCACTCGCATTAAGGAGGTTTGTGATGCTCTTGAGTCGTGTGGCAGCCCTGTATCGCAGGTTGAGCATGTTGTGAGTATCTTGAAAGGATTGCCGTGAGAGTACCAATCCTTTATGGCAGTGATTACTACGAGTCCATATTCGCTTCCCTTGGACCGGATTTGTTCCATGCTCCTTGATGCCGAGACTCAATTGACCGGATTTGATTCTCATACCGAGAATTTTCCGATGAGTGCCAATATTGTGCAAGGTCAACTTCATGGCACTGCCACTGCTTCGGATAATGCTCATGACTACAACTTGCAGCAGTCTACTTCGATGCGTGGAGGACAATCTGGTGGCAGAGGTCGAGCTCGCCTACAGTGTCAATTGTGTGGCAATAATGGCCACTCGGTTAACAGATGTTGGTACCGCTTTGATCGTGATTTTGCAGGTGTCTTAGCCAATAATACTCAGCCAAGATCTAAGGGTGAATCCAGCAGTGTTAACTATGTGAGTCTCGACAATGTTGGTTGTACATGTTGTGCCAAACAACATGGTACTACCTCGGTGCAAGTTGGTGGTGTCACTCAAGCTAATTTTGCTGCACCCCATCGTACTAAGTGAGTGGTTGATTCAGGTGCTACGCATCATGTGACCCCAGATGCATCAAACATAGCTCACACCACTGATCTTGATGGTCCAGGTAACCTATTAGTTGGGAATGGGGTTCCTCTTAGTGTAAATACGGTTGGTAAATCTTTGTTGCATTCATCGTCGTCTTCTTTGTTACTTACAGAACTATTACATGTGCCTCAAATTAATAAACATCTTCTTTCGGTGTCGAAGCTTGCTAGGTAAAATCATGTGTTCCTCGAGTTTCATGCTGATGGATGCTGCATCCGTGATGAGGTGTCGGGCAAGGTCATACTACAAGGAAATCAACAAGGTGGCCTTTATACTTTTGCGTTGGATAATAATAGCTCAAGTTGTTGCAATAAGCCAGAGGTTTTTTCAGTGAATACCTCGTGTAATGTTTTTGATTTGTCGCATAGGAGGTTAGGACACCCAGCCTTTCCTGTTTTAAAGTCAGTTTGTAAGACACTTGTTGTTGATGTTTCGAATAATGCAAATCACACATGTGTTGCTTGTTGTTTGGGTAAAAGTCACAAGTTACCCTTCAATGATTCTAATACGATATATGATACTCCGTTTCAACTTTTATTCTCTGATCTTTGGGGACCTTCGCCTAAGCCCTCTGTTGGAAATAGGTATTACATCTCATTTGTGGATGTTTGTACGAGGTACACATGGGTGTATTTTTTGAAGAATAAGTCACAGGAAATTGTAGCCTTTCGAATGTTCCAGAGTATGGTTAAAACGCAATTCGCTTTACCTATAAAAGCTATGCAAAGTGACTGGGGGAAAGTTCAGGAACTGGTCGAATGATTTAACACGAGAAGGTGTTTTACATAGGGTCACTTGCCCTCATACATCTGAACAAAATAGGGTCGTAGAGCGTAAGCATCATCACTTAATAGAATTGGCACTTGTGCTATTAGCTAAAGCTTCCCTTCCAGTTCATTTTTGGTTATATGCGGTAGCTACCGCAGCTCATCTAGTGAATAGGTTACCAACCAAAGTGCTCGATGGTACTTCATCGTTCGAGAAGCTATTTGATAAGAAACCAGACTACAAGGTGTTGCGTGTGTTTGGTTGCAGGTGCTTTCCACACCTACGAGCGTTTAAACCACATAAATTAATGCCTCGATCCAGCGTGTGCACATTCTTGGGTTATAGCACTCAGCATCGAGGATTCCAGTACCTTGACTCCAATAGTCGAATATTTATTAGTAGGCATGTTAAATTTGATGAATTTGTCTTCCCTTTTGCAGAAAAAAAGACTACTACATGCCATTGTGCTCAGCCTTCCTCGAGATCGGCAGCGCTTGAGATTGTTACAAAGTATCGTCCTCAAGTTGTAGGGACACAACATACCTCCACTAGTGCAACTTCACATGCAGGTGCTGTGCTAAGTGAAGACAAGCATAATTCCTCCTCGAGTGCTAGTTCAAGTAGTAATGATGAGCATGCTGCTGTTGGTCCCTCCTTGAGTGCTGGTTCAAGTAGTAATGGTGAGAACGGTGCAGATGCACAACCAGTTGATGAAGTCTCAGTTGAGTCTGCAGATGGATGTTCAATTGATGTTGTACCTGCTGTCAATAGTCATCCCATGCTTACACGTAGTAAGCATGGCATATTCAAACCAAAGGTGTTTGTTAGTGAAGCTGATGTAGCAGTTCATACGGATATTCATCAGGCTATGAAGTCGAGCGACTGGGTAACTGCTGTGCAGAATGAATTAGCAGCTTTACAACGAAATGGTACGTGGTCGTTAGTGCCACTGCCTGCTGGACGAACAGCTGTGGGGTGCAAGTGGTTGTTCAAATTAAAGCAAAATCCAGATGGCACCATCAATCGCTACAAGGCCCGTCTTGTTGCAAAAGATTTCTTGCAAGTGCCAGGGCAAGATTTTAAAGAAACCTTCAACCCAGTTGTCAAATTTCCAACGTTGAATGTTGTGTTGTCCCTTGATATCTCAAATAAGTGGCCCCTAAGGCATGTAGATGTCAATAACGCTTTCTTAAACGATGATTTAAGGGAGGACGTCTTCATGCAACAGCCACATGGCTTTGAACAGACTGCTGCAGATGGCACTAAACTTGTGTGCAAACTTCATAAGGCTCTTTATGGACTACGTCAAGTGCCGAGAAACTGGCATTCTAAGATGAATGATAGTCTCTTACAAATGGGGTTTTGACCATCAAAAGCTAATGTCTCGTTGTTCATAGCTCAAGGCCGAGAATTGTCAACGTATGTGCTCGTCTATGTAGATTATATTCTAGTGACCGGACAGTCGATTGATGAAGTGGAACGAGTGGTACGAATGCTTCATGATAATTTTTCCTTAAAAGACCTTGGAGACTTAAAGTACTTTCTAGGTATTGAAGTTCAAAGATGTGGTGATTTCTTGGTGCTCAATCAAAAGAAATTTATTTTAGAGTTACTGGAAAGAACAAACATGTTAAAGGCAACACCGACTGCCACTCATATGGTGCTCAACAATAAACTCTGCAGTGATGAAGGAGAGCTGTTAGAAAATGCTCGAGAATTTTGAAGCATAGTTAGGTCGTTATTGTATGTCTGCCATACAAGGCCAGATGTTGCCTACAGCGTGAGCAAGGTGGCTCCATTCATGCATTCACCACAAGAATGCCATATGCTGGCTGCAAAAAGCATTTTACGTTATCTTGATGGGACTGTGGAGCTTGGACTGGTGCTTTCGCCTTCGAAGGAAGTGATGCATGTGCATGTAAAGGCCTTCGCTGATGCCGACTGAGGTGGTTGTCTTGATGATTGACGCTCCATGACAGGTTATTGAGTTTTTGTTGGCGGCAACATGGTGCATGGACTGCTAAGAAGCAGAAAGTAGTTTCGAGATCAACCATGGAAGTAGAATATCGAAGTCTAGCTGATGCAGCTGCAGAGGTTGCTTGGGTGGATGTACTCCTTACTGATCTAGGAGTAAAGCGTTATGAATGTCCTACCATCTGGTGTGACAACACCAGTGCAATTGCGTT